CATTTGAAGACCAGCAAACCTGCTTGCGGCGACATTGCAAATGTCTGGCTTTAGACGGCTTTTTCAAGAAATCTTATGTATGTAAAATAAAATATACGGTGACGGGCACACAAATAGGTACGCGACATTTTAACAAGCTTTGGCTATATTTATTTTATTTATTTAATGTTCATTATATTTTATAAAAGTTTGTCACACTATCTAACAAAAACCATGTAGGTCCGAATTTCAAACTTTTTACAAAAATGAGCAAAAATTCAAAAAAGATACATCAAAATTTCTAAGTTTTTTATCCGAATCAGAGTTAAAAACAAATTTGATGTGGAGTTTTGTTGCCCATTAGTTTTCAACTTACCGTTGATTTAAGACAATTGTTTTCTGGTGGGGTTGTACATTTTGCTCCATATAAAAAAAATTGTCGGACATACCGAGTCCTACGCCAAAAAAAGTAAGCGAAATTTTTTTAATTTTCTTTTTAATGCCTACGAATTTTTTCTAAAAATTCTGATTAAAAACTTAAATATGGTTTTTATTGGATGTTAAGCAATACTTTCATAAAAAATAGTAAACATTAAATAAACAAAACACAAATAGTCAAAACTTGTTAAAATGCAGCGTCCTTATTTATTTTCCCGCCACTGTAGATGTCAGGGAATTCCGGACCAATGTGGAAAGTATGCGGAAATCATAAAAAATATGGTAAATAAATGCTTAAACCAATGATCATAAAATCTATGAATATTTCAGTGTGCACTTTTCCCGCCCAGAACAGATATTCGAGGGAGTCAAACAAGTAACTTTTAAACAACAAACCCAACCGACTTCAATATTCATATAAAACTTTAGGAGTACCGGTAGGTACAAAATGATTCACGAAAAAATAAATAAACAAATGGTAAAAACTTAAAAATAAAAAAATCTTAATGTACTTAGCTAAAAATGTCAAAAAAAAATGGGCTGAAATCTTAAGAAATTGAAAAATGGCCTTAAACCTTTTAATTTTTTAGTAATTGACTGCATATTTAAATAAAACAATGAATAGTTTGCGAAAAAAATCACTTATGTACATATCGTCCCCTCAATATAACAATAGCGTATAATTTTTTTTGGGTTTTGAGAAAATCGAGTTTAAAGTTTTTGTTTTTTTTTTTGTTTGAAGGAAATTTTTGAACAAGAAATTATACACCATTTTTTCCAATGACATTTTGACCCACTTTGTGGAAGTAGAATTTGACGAAATTTTGATCAGACATAGAATCAATGATGGAGATTCTAAATATGCAATAAAAAAATAATGGCGAGGGGACGATATCTACTTTTAGGCACCACAAAATGTATACAATTAAAATACTTTCACAGCGGCAGTCACGAACTAAAGCACAAATAAGCTTTTGGCTCTCAGTTTTGTTGCTTGCTCTCAATCGAAGAGCATTTTGTTGCTGACGCAGGAAAAAAATGGGGTAAGCCCACTACTGCTGCCCAACATAAAAATGTCAAATCTGAAGCAATAAACATAACAGCGCTGTAAAACAGAACGCAGTGAGATTTCTTCACCCCCCCAAGTGTTTTTCCATTTCATTTTATACTCGTAATATACGGCGTGCAACAGTAAATGAGAAATTGAAATTTAATGCATGCATGTACGAGTATTACAAACACAGTGCAGTGTGTAAAGGGATGCAGAAGAAAATTTAATTCATGTAACCAGAAAATATGCAATGGTTTACAAGATTTTCATGATTTCACTAAGGGTTCAAATTAAACAGCCAGTTCTTGCTTGGGTCGTTTTTTATTTCAACGAATTAAACTTTAAATTATTCTTTACACTAGTACGAGTATAGCTTATAGTATGCATAGTATATAGGCCTTATACATATTACTAAATAAAAAGGTTTGTTTGGGCTTTTCTTTATAGGTATAAAGTCGATGTGAAGTTTCAATAGGGATACGCAAGCTTTATAGTTTCAAAGAAAATTCGCCAACTAACACCTTCTCTGCACGTCACTGTGCCAGAGAAAACGCCTTTCGAAGACATTCCATACAAAAACAGTTTAGTCAGCAAAATATCCAGCAACCCTAAATACCGAGTTGGCAGCAGCAGCAGCACCACCATCATGCCACCAACAGAGGAAAATGAATGAAGAGCTGTGCACCAGCAGTAGGCAGCATCAGTTGAGTTTATTGTATCCATGGGAGTGGATAATGTGCTTTCGGTTTATTCTCTCACGCGAAGCAAGGTATTTAGTGCTTTTTGGGGCTTGGCAGCCTAAAAGCGGGACAAATTCGGCTCTAAGCCTATACATATAAAACAAATGATTTATGTGCATTACAAGAGGAAGAATCATCATAATTCGTGTTTAGTTTAGTTTCATAAATTATTGAATGAATACTAAAAAAAATTACAATTACGGGTAATAACGAATCTAAGGAGTAACAAATACTGCAAATTTTTAAATTAAAAAGTGAGTGAAATAAGAGTGCAAATCCAAAATGATTATATACATATGTATATACATATGTATGTATGGACTCATACGTATAGTTTTAAATTTAGTGAATTTAAGATGGCATTTCATTGATGTGTAATTACCTAGAAAGGCAAAGACAAATCAATGGCTTTAAAATCAAAATTATGACTTATGCGAACTCTTGAGGATTCATAGTGCATATACATTAAGCAAAATATATACATATGTACATATAGGATTCTACATCTTTACATACATACATACATATGTTCATATGTGCATGATCTCATAAAATATGTCAGAGCACTAATGCGTTGATGCCCCATTTCGAAATAAGTACAAATGTATATGGTGTGTTTATATCCGAATATATGTATGTAGGTACATACGTACGTATGCATAAGTTTGTAGATATATGCATGGTTTTCAGCCAAGTGTTTTACTGCATCGGCCAAGTGGTAGAAAGTGTGTGTTTGACCTAACTTTTGTGTGAACAAACAAACTTTAGCGGCACATACTTGGCATTCGTTGATGTTAATTTATGTATGCTTGTATGCATGTATGTATATCTAAATATGTATGTATGTACTTGGAGCCATGGAGCTTGGACGCGTGCTATTGATTTAAAGGATATAAAAGTCATAAATGTGCTTATATTATATGTGTGTGTATGTATGTAGCTTATAAAAATGGTATTAACAATTACTGGAGCTTATCTTGTCAATAGAAACAATGGCTACAGGAACTATACAAGTACTACATAAACAAAACTGTGAGCTGAATGCATGCGTACCTAAACAAGGATGCCTCTTTTGTACATACAACTATAAGTATGTAATTATTTACAGTTTTGTTAAGACATACGATATGCCCATAAAAATACCTATGGCCATATAAATATGGTATATTCAAATGTGCAGTATGTATGTATATTAGGATACCTCGTGAAAAGTGTTGCGGCTTCCCTAAGCAAATAACAAAATTTCTCATATACTTTATAACTTTCGCGAAAATTTGTTGCCTTAATTCATTGCGAGTTATTTATCAGCTGTACTTAAAAATATTTGCAATTTGAAATAATTAAGCCTTTAATGATAGATCAGTGACAACTCTAAAGGGATCAGCATGTATGTATGTATAAGCTTTTCTTTAGAAAATTGCCAACATTTTCTAAACTAAGAACAATTTTAATGCAATTTCCTGCAACTTTTCAATAAAGTGTTCATATCAATTTCAACTATAGTATCTTAATGGATATCAGTTTTCAACCCAGAAAATAACTTATGTATGCCTCATTAATTGTGGCCATTCTAAAAAGTGTACACAAGAGGGCTGAAAATATCCTTCCCTGCATGCCTTCTAGAAAGGCTTTTTCTATTCACAATTTAGCAAATGTCCATATGTATAAGGCTGGCACTTGTTTATAATTTTTAGTATTACAAAGGAATTTGCATTTTAGGTTGCAATAAAATGTATTTGATGTATATCTTAAATAAATATCTTGAAAAAGCAGCACCCTGCAAAATTTTTTCTGTGAAAGATTAATGAGAAAGGAATGTAGAGTGAAAGTCTTGACTCTTAGGAAGGCTTTTTGGAAGGTATTTTAACTCCTGAAATTATGTACTGGGAAAGTTTCATCAAAAATATATTTCCTTCCGACATCATTTTGAGTTTCTTCAAAACATTTTAGCATAACGCGTTGCTTTTCGTGACTTTTGGAAATATTTTTCATAAATACAGATTTTCATGGAAAAAAAATCGTTTCCTTTAAATGGCGGTCAAACCTACGAGTGACCTCCAATTGAGCTAAAATATTTCGGCGTGCCAAAAAATATGCCAAATTTTATTTTTCACTTGTGAAAGGAGCAAATTTTCTTCATATAGAGAGTAAGGCAGTCTAATATATGTACATACATACATATAAATATACATCGCAATATTTCATAGCCAAAGCCCACACTATCATATACAAGCGTAAAAAAGTGTGCGTGGTTTTGCATTAAGGAAAACAAAGACACAATCTCAACAAGTCAACTTAAGTACTTGTGTTTTTGAGAGGTAATGCATGCTGACACAAACAGTCAAGCAACTTAAGAGCATATTCCGACAAAGCCTTGTCAAATATCCTCTTACACAACATGGGCGTAGGCTAAACAAATGTTGACAGTAAGGGACTGAAATTGCAAATAGGCGTATTCGGCATTTTTACATTCAACTTTAATGTTTAGAGAGAGAGAAAGATTCTAAGTCGGTGTCGAAACCCACTTTGCACTTTAACTTTCGGTGCTAAAATTTCTGTCCGGCCTTAGTTCTCTAATATGCGGCCATTTAATACAAAACTACGACTTCTTTAAAACGTGATTTCCACATGTTGAGGACATTCTGGTGGGTAAATTGTTGTTTACATATGCATACTTATAAATTCTCATAACAGTATCTCATCGATGCAACGCAATGAAAGACGCTAGTCAAGCAAATACATCGAATTAGTTGCTTGTGTCGGTAATTTAAAAAAAAAAAGTACAGCGATTCTTAAATAAAATTAGATTGATTTATGCTTTAATTGTAAAAACAGTATAAAATTTGTTTACAAAATCGTGTAAATGTATGCACATAGTAAAAATACAATACTAACTAAGCAAAAGTCATGGGCGTTGTCAACTAGCTTTTGACACTACCATTGAGCCTTACCTTCTCAAAAGCTAATTAAGCAAATCATCGCCATAAATTTGGATCAATGCAATATTGCTATCTTGTGGAAATTCAAGTGTATTCACATCACACTCATTTAGGTAAACCGCTCCTAGGTAGGCAGTGTCTGTCGCTTCTGTACTTCGCCGATATAACACACCAATATCCTTTACTTGAATTGCACCATCGAACGCCACTACATAATAACGTACACGCCAACCATTTGGCGCATTTTCTGGAAGTGAAAATTCTTTGGGTATTTTTGGTGTATCTAGCGTATTTCTCGCCAATAAATCATTGTATTTTGACTTTATTGGTGATACATAGCAGCGTCCTTTTTGCAAATTTGTTGTATTATAGTAGTCGCCCATGAATAGATAGCAATCACGTGCATTATTCCTAGTGCAGAAACGCAATATGCAATCAAATTCCCCATCATTTGGATGTAGTTTGTAAGCGTATGCGAAAACTAAGCCCCCACTTTGCAATCGAAAATCGGAAACGAAAACACGAAAGCTATTATTGTACTGTAATATGCGCAAGCATGATCCGCCATTAAAACCATCGGCGTAGAAACGTTCTGCCAGCTGATATAGCGGCACTGAAGGTTGCAGCGAGCATTGTGATAAATTAAAAAACTGTTCACCATCACCTCCACCACTGCCGCTCCCGCTGCTTTTTGAGCGACCGTTTAGATATGTGCGCTTTCCTGAACCCAAACAAAAGTCCGAATAAAAGGGTAATATGCTGTAGGGATGTGTGGCTATATGTTCCCATAAAGAGCACCAGAATTTTTCGTTGCGTCGCAAAAAAGCATCGTTCACGCTGTCATCACCCAGGGGTTGTTTTATATTGTAACCAAACATTTGCAGTGTTTCATATGTCCAGGCTGGCGCAAAAATGCCCGTAGAAAAACGGTGACTCACAATGCGTGCTAAAGTTTGTTTACTCTGAAATTTGGCAACCTGACCACGTCCAAATACATCGATGCCAAAAAAAGCACGTTGACATTGAGATTGTGAGCGTTCGCAAATTTCCGTTGTCATCTCAAGACTTTTGTCATTCCACGTGTAATTGATTAGCATACCATGCGCGGTATGAAAAAAACGCACATTTTTGGCATTAATTTCATTTTGCCATCTTAATTCGCCAGTATCAATAATGCTGTCGTACCAGAATACCACACCGTGGTCCACTTCCTTTTCCACGCTATTGCGTAAGCGTTCTACGAGGTAGCTGGAAAGAATTGCAGATTTGTGATTGATTTGTATATTAATAAATATTTATACTTACTGAAGGTTTTCCATATTCTCAGGTTTAACTCTGCATTCGACGTTAATTAGCCAACCTTCAAAGCAATAATGTTTGCATAGCTTCACCATGGCATCGACAATCTTGTCCACCATATCTGTTGACTGCAAAACCTCGTTTAATAAAGAAGCGTGTCCACTTTCGGTGATGAAAGTGCCTATTAAAAATTTAAACATTATTACTAGCTTGGTTTGTATTTATAAATCTGAAGAAATAGTTCAAATTTGAAGGCCAGAAAGTGGTTGTATTAATTGGTAAGTATTCTTTACATAAAGCTTATGGCGGTCGCTGTGGTATAGTGGCTAGGAGTACGAACTACCATTCCACAGGACCTGGGTTCGATCCAGCCCAGCTTCCGACTAACATCCATAACAAGAGAAAAGCAAAAGCAGGCAATGGAAAACCTCGGAGAGTATTGCTGCCATGAAAAACCATTTCCCATAAAAATACACAAATAAATAAAAATGTTAGATAGGACAAGGTGTACCTGGGCTGTTAAGGAAACACTAATTAATTGTTTTGGCACAATACGGAAGCAAAACTTCTCTCGATTCATATCTTGATCAATTCACTCTCAATCTTATTCTAAATTTGAATTTCAAGCTAATTTCAATCTTAACCTTAAACCGCTGTGCAGCACATTTCGATAATTCACTATAAATATTGATAAAAGCGTCGAGAAAGGGAGATAAGAAGGAAAAACAATGCACTCCCGTTGCATCAAGGGCGACATTTTTCGACGACTTTTATATCGCTATGAAATGGAGCAAAATGATTCAAAATTCGTTTTCGAGTAAATTTTAATATCGCAAATATGTCAGCTTTCTAGCGTTTCGCTTCAGTAATACCGCTTTCTGTTAGCCCCAAAAACAGGCGGACATATGCCGTACTTACCCAAAACACGTACACCGTGTTTGTGCGCTGCATTTAACCAACCGCATGGCGGTATTGTTATATAATTATGACTAAAGTAACAAAAATAGTCTATACCGGCCCAATGATAAAAACGATAGTCATCATACTTCTTTGATGAATGAAAATGCCTGTAAATTATATATATTTGGTTAGAACGAAGTTACTAACATTGTTATGAGCGCACTTACCGATCTTCAAGATAATTACCCATCATGTCGTGGCAGACTAGAACTTCTCGCCTATTGTGATTTCCAATTGGTTCTCTATAATTGCTCAGCAGTTGAAATTGTCTTTGTAGATATACAGGAGCAATGCGAGGTGTTAATGGTGCTACATATTTTTGCCATTGTATGTCCTTACTTCTCAACTCAAAGGATAACAATTGTTCGTTGGAGTGTATTGCCTCTGCTTCCAGTTGATCTTCAAGTGTAAGATTTTGCATGTTGTATGCAAATGTTTTGAAATTAGTGCGCATATTGAATATACTTGCTAATACTTTTAACGCTTTGCATGCAATGCAAATATTTAAAAGCGATAACCGCATTTAGTCCCAGTAACATTATGTTTATCGGAGGCTTTAGATATTTTACATACATATGAATGCACTTGGGAAATGGAACTAGAAAATTAAAATTTTGTAATACTCATTTGATTGATTTGGTATGCAAGCGCTGCAACAAAATAAAAGCTCAGCCTTATCACTACATTATGGATTGTATATTTGTATGTATATACTTACGTACTTACATAGCATATTAGGAACACCATTAAAATTTATAAGTATGTATGTATTTATATGGAAAATTCGTACTCGGAGTGTGCTTAATTAATAAATAATTCAATCATATAAAAATGTAAAACGGGAACCTAACACTTGCATAAGACCCTGAGTGTTAGTAAGAAATTTGGCCATTTTCTATGGCTGCATTTCTTTATTAATTCTGAACGTTTGGAATAAACTTTTTTGTTTACTTATTCTTTAGTACGTTCCTGATGATATGTTAACGTATATTCCAAACGCATTCTTTTTATTCCGGCTGTGAAATGGGATTATCCGGAATGTATAAAGAATCGCAGCCTATATGTTACAATTGGTTGCTATTTTTTTTCAATTTATTTTGAATTTTGGTGATTTATTTATTAAACTTAATTATTTATTAAATTTGCAAAGTAAAGTAACATATTTTAAAAGATAATAATAATTTTTGCACTTTTGTTAGCGCTTGCCCAAATTGTGTTGTGCGTCTCGATATTCTTATAGACATGGAGGGACCTACAGTTTTACACCGCCCCCGAAAGGCAAATGGGGGCGCCCGCTGTTAGAGAGAACTTATTTTAGTGTATATGTTGCTCGGACCAGGTAGAACGCAGCCACAGGCTATTTAAAAAGATATTTATGTACATACATATATCTGGGTATATATTTTTGAAGAAATGTTAAACAAGACCAGTAATAACATTGATATGGGCAAGCCCATATGCACTAGATGGTTATTACCACTTATTTAAATATATAACCGTCAATGAGAAAATATCGGCGCATTTCCCGTATTCAGTTTGTGCAAACTAGTGTTTAACTGCGATAGCTGTTCGCTAATGAAGATTTTATAGCGAAACGAGCCAATTTTTGTTCGCCGGTAACATTCACAAATACACTTTACATACATACATACATACATACGCGCATGTGTTGGCTAAAATGTACGCAAAGCAAAATTAATTCCAGCGCCTCTTATTATAGGCACATATGCAATATGCTTTTAATTGAACTCGAAATGTTTACTTGTAGATTAATACAATACATTTTTTTATGCAATACAAATTGTAAATAAGCATTTTATGCATAAAGTACACACTCACTGCAACATTCCTCGCTGCCATCACAATTCTTCATTTCGCCTTCTTGCAATTAGCAGATTACTTTAATAATATTTGCATTTACACACTTAATAATATGTTCAGCATTTATACAATTTTTATATAAAAATAAAACAAACTAATAAAAATAAAACTTTTAATCACTAAACACTACAAAATGCTGTGATGGTCGAAATGAACACAAATGAAAATAACACCAGCTGATTTCTATTAGTGATGTGATGTGAGCTATCATGATTTTACTAAGTATCGATAAATAATGGGACATAACAAGTTATCGGTGCTTTTAAAACGATTATCGTTTTAGCCAATTGCTAAAAATGCTGGATGATAAAATTAATTCAAAAGTAGATGTTTCTTCAGAGAAAATAGAAATGCTGTGGGGCTTTTCATTGTCTAAATAAGGCCGATTTTAAGGTTAGTTACATCCTTTTGACAGAAGTTCCAGTGAACATTAGGGTTGGTTTTCCACTACGACCGCATTTTTTGCTTATTACGACGGAATTGACGAGCGGGAATTAATATTAGCATTCAGCGAACTGGGCATGTAGCCTAGCACTCTGGCAGAAGGGCAGATTAGCTAATCTCGATTTGGTGAATACCCCTAATTTTTTTCACAAAGATCGCACTTGTGTTTAAAAGTTCTTTTATTATTTAATATTAACCGGTTGGACAGATGAGGGTTATATTTTTGAAGCGCAGCCGAAGGCCGCCTACACGAAAAAGAATTTTGCGCGAAAGTACCGTGCCTTATTTTTTTTAACAAGTATTGATTAACCTTTTTAGCTTTAGTTTCTTGCTTGTTTAGCCTTTTCGAAGTTGTGAAGGGTACCAGTTTGTAAAAAAAATTTTATTTCGCTAGTTGCGTGAAAAAGTGAGAGTATTTGGATTTTCTTTTCCTCTTTAATTAATTAATTCCCGCCCAATCGATACGAGGAACGCAGTCCGCATGACGTACCGAACTTTTTTTGTTTTTTTTTTGGTGCCGAGTCGTGGAAACAGGAGTTTGTTAAGTGTCGAGATCTTAAACTGTTCAGCTACAGAATCAAATTCATCAGCTGATTGGATATGCTAAAAATAATATTTCAATCATTTAAAGAGGAAATGATAGCCCTACAAGAACAGTGATAGTCATTTGATTGATCATGTGATACTCACTGGTGATGGAGATCTCAATCAAGTACTTCTAACAACTTTTTAAGAGCAATATGCAGAACGTGATGTAAACAATTGTGTACATACATGTGATCTTCCGTCTTCTTCCGACTTATGGCCTTATTTAGTGGTCTCTTTTTACCCAACGCAAAATTTGCAAATGTGTTAGTAAGATAAATGAGAATGTGTTAGTTTACATCACACAATTCATGTAGGGAGTTTTCCTTATAGTAAAACTTGAGTCCGATATGTCAAAAGGGTTGGAATGAGAGCTGAAATCTTGACATAAATAACGAAATGATTCGTTTAATCCAAAATTAGTTTTGCATGGCTTCAAATCCAGAGTTCGAAAGTGTCTTGACACTCGAGAGGGAACATTAAAGTTTCTTCCTTCAAAAAGTATTAAAAAAATGCTATATCAAAAGCTGCACCCAAGAAAACACTATAAACTCACAGAAGATACTCTAAAGTAAACAAAACTTACTCAACGAAGTTTAAAATAACTTTCCTTGGTGCAATTTAGGCCATAGTAGTTTAGCCCCAAAAAATATATTTTATAAATAAATTAATAACTAAATTTCCTTCTCTTTTTAGTACTAAATCATGGTAATTCCGCATTGTAATGCCTTCATTCGATTGCCTCGATCTGCGGCTTGGACGATTTCAAAAATTTAATGAATAAATCAACAACACAAACAAAGCATTTACAGTGTTCAAAAACAGACGAAATATTATTTGATTTACATATTTCCAGTAGTAAAGCGTGCTATATAATACCACCAAAATGCCAGCGGGTCGAGTAGCCGGTAAAGCTGGATATTCCAATCATTACTATAATGGTAAGCGCTTTATGAAGTGATAAATATATATTACTCTATACATATATAATATATATTATATATATATATACAACAATTGCTCGTTTAATGTAATAAGATGTAAGAGCGTTATTGGTAAAAATAAGCGAATAAACTATATAGGCCTGGGCCAGGTAACCAGGAGATACTGTATAAATATTATTTTCCATGTGAATATGTACAAATAAATATAACCGGGACATTTTAACAAGTTTTTGCGTTTTTTCTTTTGTTTATTTAATCTTTATTATTATTTTTTATTGAAGAGCTATACTACTATCTAACAATCTCAAACTTTGTGCAAGATAAAAAAAAAATTTTAGCTATGCAGTTTTGTAGCCCGAAAAGTTCAAATTTGAAGTAGCTTGAAAATTACTGTTGAATTTTGGAATTTTTCTTGCTGAGTGCACTACTAAACTTTTCTTCATAATTACATATCGATGGCTGAGTGGAAGATCGACCTATCTCGGCAGCAAGTTCGAAAACGCCCTATCTCAAAAAACTTTTCAAGAACGCCCTATTTCAGAATTCGTTTCAAAAACGCCCTATCTCAGCTGCCGATTCAAAAACGCCCTATATCAGCATATTTTCAATACATTTCGAAGTGAGATAGGGCGTTTTTGAACCGAATTTGGAGATAGGGTGTTTTTCAATTAAATTCTGAAATAGGGCGTTCTTGAAAAGTTTTTTGAGATAAGGCGTTTTCGAACTGTATGCCGAGATAGGTCGATCTTCCACTCAGCCATCGATATGAAAAAAATTCGAACACATTTTGTATGGAAGAACATGTGTGAAATAAAATTTGCAAAGAATCGCCTTAGTTACTTCAAACTTTAATTTGTTGCACTAAAATTTAAAGGACCACAAAACTGCATACCACGTTTGTTTAAAAAAAATTTAGATTAAAAAGTTTCAAATTTCGATCAAACTTTGTCGAATTTTCTTAATTTTTGTACAAAGTTTTAACTTTGGACTACATAGTTTTTTTTAGAAGTGAAATGTATATACTTTCATAAAACAAATATTAAACATTCAGTGAAACAAAAGAAAACAAGAGCCAAAATGGTTAAAATGTCGCGTCCCTATTTATTTTGCCGCAACTGTGTGTACAAATGTATACTTATTTATGTATGATCACTTCACTAATAATATATGTACATTTTTTCAAATCTATATTGTTATATATATAATTATTATTTATTTTTTTTAATTACTAGGACGCTCATATGTTGGCATCAACGAAGAAATCATGTGGGTCAGCATAGGAATGGGCGTAACGATTGCGATTCTCATAACCATAGCGTTATGTTATATTGCACGTGAAAAATGCCAAAAACGCCAACGTGAATATTATGTGACTGCGTAGTTCCTTTTTCAATTAGCCTGCTATCAACACGATTTAATATTCTTGATGAATGTCGTCTTCGTCAATTGCGAATTCATTGGTAATAGTTATTTAATATATATAGCTTTCCAGAGGATGACATAATCCAACTCATTACCAAGTACATCGATTTTGGCGGAAGGTGAGATGTTCAGGATTAGTAGAGTTTATGAAAAAAGCTGATTTTACAACGTTTGAAATATAAATGTAACGCACAAGAAAACATCACACTTCCGTAAATTGAAAAAGGTATATTGAATATTGTATGTAGATATGTATGAATGTAAGTAGATAAAAAAGTTCAAGTACATATGCACGAGTATATATGTATGTATGTATATACATGCTTACCTAGTCACATTGCTATGTACATACATTATGGTGCATCACAAAAAAAAAAAAAAATTTTGTTTTCAGCCGGAATTTTTAAATTTATTGCATTTTAAGACTTCTGCAAAAATATTTCGGAAAAATATTTATATTTACATGAGCTTGACCGACACAATTTTTAAACATTTTTTATGCAGACCTTTGAAGCTTAAACTGTACCATCTGAGATGATTTTTTAGAAAAAATATTTTTAAAAAATAATTTTATTTATTAAAAACTAAACGATTTTGGATATATTTCCAAATAGCAAAGTCTTAAAATATAATACATTATATACTTCTGATGGAAAAACAGTATCTTTTTTTTTTTTAATGGCGAGTGATGCATCCTAATGTGTGTACATATATACATTACCGTGTGTTTGTCTAAAAAATACTCTTGTAACGTTGTGGATTAGTATTAACAAAATGTATTATTGAAAATATGATGCCCTTTATTATATATGTATATACATACAACTTAAGACCCAGAATCCTCTGACAAGCCTTTTTATTGACGTCACCTTAAATAAAAGAATCAAGGAACAATTCTGCTCAATATATACATTATTTAATTATATAGAAATACTTTATGAAAACAGAATAAAAACTAAAAAAAAAACACCGGAATTCACGCACTTCAATTGTTGTTGAATTTTGCAAACGGAAACGAAAAAATGTATAATCGAATTATTAAACTTGGATTGTTGAATATGAACAAATTTATATTTGTACTTCAAAAATAAACTATAGCATTATTGAACCAGTTATGTGATGTACATTCTATGTAAGTTGTATTCATGCATGTATTGTATTTATTGAGAATTATTTATTTTTAGACTTAAAAAGAATAAAACGTAATTTGAATATGTAAGCTACTGTTATTAAAGATACACTTATATTTGGGGTATTCACAACGGTGTCGTAAGTATCGTATTGTTGTATTTAAACGAAAAAAAAAAAATAATAATAATATTAAGGGGGCTCGCAAACTACCATCAAAGTCATATTATGCATTTTCGCAGTGTTAAAAGATAGTTGGTAGTGGTTTCAAGTTCTCTAAACATTTACTTAAGCTTTTAAAGTTTACGACCTACAACAATACGACATTTACGACACCGCTGTGAATCCCTCAATTATATTTAGTAAATTGGCAAAGCTTAACAGTTTTATTAAAATTTGGAATAGGTTAGATTATGAAGGTGCGCACGAATGGCTAATATAGATTTGCCCATTGTGAATACCCTATATGAGTGCCATCTAAGAGAAGTTATTCCATATTGTCAGTATAGTGTACCTCTGTTAAACCATTTACTATGCTGTATAAAGCTTTCGATATTTTCACTTTTGCTATTTCCCCAAAACTATTGAAGCCACGTGATTCCAAATGCTTGAGACGTCTTGTCTGAAGAGC